GGATTTCCAAGTTCTCGTTCGTTGGTAGGGGTTGAGGAATGACAGTGCTTAGTGCCTGGGCAATTTGGGTCAGGCGTTGAAGATTCTGAGTCAGGAGTTCCTGGGTAGGGTGTCTCGGTGTTCCTGTCGGTTTCTTCTTGGGTGCCATCCTGGTGGTTAAAGGTTGATATTATTTTGTGCTTTCACCTTGATGTAATAAGCGGAGAAGAGTTCTTAATATTAGAGGGGGCGAAGTGAGGGGAGGTGATGTGTAGGTTTCTCAGTCTTACCTCGCGTCCTAAGATTCCTGAGTCCTATGTTCCTAAATACCTAGAGTTCAAGCTTAATGTCCTAAAGTCCAGTCTTAAGAGTTTTATCCTAGGGTCAAACTTAGGCTCTGATACCAACTGTAACACCCCAGATTTTCAAGACATTTAAAACTTATAAAATAAAGGTGAAATCTCATTAAATCCCAAAACATAATACAAGAGTATGGGGTGCTATGCCACACCTGAGCTAGAGAACTCAGGTGAATAGGCTAACTAACTAATATCCTCAATAATGTAAACGCATAAGCATGGCACGCAGGCCGAAAGGGAACTATCTACTTCTACGTTCCGAGTTCTAGCGCACTCCAGTGACTTATTCTTCTGTGCCTGAAAGCCAAATATATCTGTTCAGCGAGAGATGCTGGTAACCCACACCAACGCGTTGAAATACAATACATATAGAGATATATATAGATATACGAAAACCATTATGAACATGAAGATATATCCTACGAACTCTAGCTTTAAAACCGGGGATGACTCGGCAGGTAATGCCAGACACAGCAACAGTTATAACAGTCAAAAGCAGTTCATTATAGATAAAGCAATTAAGGCAAGGCATAAGCAGTAATCATAACCCATCATAAACAATCCCCAATATGAGACCCATAGTCACATCCCAAGGCACTCATAGTCACAACTCGTCCATATCACACCCATAACGCACATTGTTGGCGCCACGGGACCGATCGCATGCCCATACATGAGGGTCAGCGCATATAGCTCTGACACAGCCCCGCAGCACCATGCCCCGTATCGCAACACGGGGAGGTCGATCGCAACCGACCGATGAACCGCGGCTCATCATAATGTTTGATCGCAACCAAACAGTGGTCCGCAGCCCAAGAGAGTGTCGTCTGACCGCAGCCAGGATAAAGGACGAACCGCAGCTCGTATAGAAACGTCTGATCGCAACCAAACGGTGGACCGCAGCCCAAGAGAGTGTCATCTGACCGCAGCCAGGAATACCAATCTGACCGCAGCCAGCTTCTGAACCGCAGCTCAGGATAACCAATCCGATCGCAACCGAATTGGGGCAGCACACACACATAACACATAGCAAGCACATGCAACCCACGTTACACATTGGGAAGGGGGTAAAGCGTATAACAAACCTATGCGTGATCCATCACATACTAAGAATAGTTCTAAGGGGTTCATACTTCCTTCACCAAGGTCAACAGGATACCAATTCATCTAGCATGCGATATAACAGACTCATAAACCTACGAACGGTACCCGAAACATCAAACTAGACATAGGCACGACAAACGGGGTCCGTTGGGACACCACGGGGATCGGGGAAACATCAAACGGGGGAGCCGGGGTCCCGAAGTGGGGTAATTTCCAGCGGGTAGCCGGTGGGTGGGGGTCCACCCGCCGGCTGTCACTGTTCCGGGCAGCGGGTGCCCGGCGGGCAGATGCCCGCCCGCCGGCTGCCCGCTGCCGGAGCTACCCGAGATTGCCACGGGTAGGTGGCGGGTCCCCTACCCCCCCACTGACACTTTTCATCACTTTTCGCCCCGGGAACCGTTGTGGAACCCGAAACCATGCTTAGACACTTTTCAACGTAATTACAGACAACACATAGACAATTAACGGATCAAATACGATAGACGAACGGCACATCACCTAACATGCTTTTCTAATCATAATCAACACCCAAACATGCGATTTCCCACCCGACAATCCAAGAATCAAAGCATACGGTACAACCTAGGGTTCTAATCACTTTTATATCAACAAGAATACGATTCGTCTTCTAATTGCAAGATTCGGTAGGAACAACACATAATCATTAAGGATACCAATTAATCATCAAGAACATCATAATCATCAAGAACAACACATAATCATCAAGAATCCCAATTAATCATCAAGAACATCATAATCAAGAAACTCCCAAAATCAAGATTATCAAGATTCCCCATGGAATCATTAAATCAACATCAATAATAATCATAGTAATTCGCCATTTACAATCATATGGGGGAAACCCTAAGGGGAAATCATAGCTATGAAAATAGGTTTTGTTGAGACATGGGTTACCTCTTAGCCTTAATTAATTCCTTGACTATGAAGGATCTTTCTTTAAGCTTTCTTGCTTTCTTGATTTCTTCTAAGGGAATTCTTGGAGCTCTCCTGGGGTGGTGGGGCGTCTAGGCGTGTGGGGGTTTTAGGTGTTCCCTAAGTTCTCTATTTATATATCCAAGGGTTTATTTAGAGTTTAATCCTATTGGGGTTAGGGGTTGGGTTTATATATTTGGGCCCATGGGCTACGATGGCCTTTTTCCCTAATTAATCATTATAATTTATTCTTTCTCCTGGGCTATTAATTAATTAATTAATCAATTGGTTTTAGGATTCGTAACACGGGGTGTTACAATAGTATTGCACGAGATTGCATACGATTATGATTATAGTATTGCACGAGATTGCATATGGGTATGATTATAGTATTGCACAAGATTGCATATGGGTATGATTATATTATTGCACGAGATTGCATATGAGTATGATTATAGTATTGCACGAGATTGCATATGAGTATGATTATAGTATTGCAGTAGATTGCATATGAGTATGATTATAGTACTGCCCGAGATTTCATATGAGTATGATTATAGTACTGCACGAGACTGCATATGAGTATGATTATAGTATTGCACGAGATTGCATATGAGTATGATTATAGTATTGCACGAGATTGCATATGATTATGATTATAGTATTGCACGAGATTGCATATGATTATGATTATAGTATTGCATGAGATTGCATATGTGTATGATTATAGTATTGCACGAGATTGCATATGGGTATGATTATAGTATTGCACGAGATTACATATGAGTATGATTATAGTATTACACGAGATTGCATATGAATATGATTATAGTATTGCACGAGATTGCATATGAGTATGATTATAGTATTGCCCGAGATTGCATATGAGTATGATTATAGTATTGCACGAGACTGCATATGATTATAGCATTGCACAAGATTGCATTTGAGTAGAGTATCGCATGAGAGTACAAAATGAGAATGTTGATTTATGATTATTTTATTGTATTAGAAGTCTTGTTTATCAAGTTATGAGATGAGAATGTGAAAGCATGAGAATACCTGTTATATGGTTTATTAGTATGATCCTATCTGTTAGCATGAATTGCTTGTTAAGTTAATTGAGAAGTTTATATGTTGAAGAATCTAAGTGTTCAGTCTTTTATATATATATATATATATATATATATATATATATATATATATATATATATATATATATATATATATATATATATATATATATATATGTATATATATAAGCAAGCCAGCTGATATTATAGGGTGCAAGCATCTTGAAAGTATGTGATAGATCTAAAGATGGTATGAGATATGCTTATTGTTATAAAGAAATCAAACGTTTTCAAAGAAAATGCTTGAATGCTTTACAGGGTTGAGTGTGGTTATACTTAGCTTCGTGCTAACGGGTGTTTTCTTTTTTGTCTATGTTTTGCTTGCAAAACCCCTTTCAGGTGGGCCTAGCAATGAGAAGAGATCGAGCTAGATTAATCTCGTGGTTTGAGATGTCTAAACTCTAGTTTTATTGATGGTCATGTTATGGAATTTAGACTTATTGATATTATGTTTTGAGGATGATGTAGACTTTTGGGGTGACGTTTTTCCCACTTACGTTTTCAGTTTTTAATATGGATGCCAGATTTTTATCTTATTTCTAGTTCTACCCTTAGCCTGTGCAATCACCACTGAGTGGTGGTTGTGGCAGTGACACTCCCATTAGTTATCTTTTTAGTTGTTATTTCCGCTGCTTAGTTTATGATAATGATTGTTTAGAGTTGTAATTAAGAGTTAGAAAACTGGGTGTTAAAAATTGGTATCTGAGCGGTTCGAACCGCGGGAGACTTTGGAAGTTTGACCCTTAAGATTGAGTATAGAAACTCCAAGTGAAAGTCCTAGGAAGGACAAGTTAAGGAAAGACCTCTAAGTTGAAGTCTTAAGAAAGACAAGATAAGAAGAGAACATTAAGTGAAAATCCTAAGAAGGATAAGATTAAGTTAAGAGCCCTAAGTTATGAAGATTGAGATAAGAAAGACCCTAAGTTCAGTGATTAAGTATGAGAATCAGAGTTTAGGGAAACTCTAAGTATCAGTTAGGAACGCAGTGAGGTCGTGAGTTCCTTTGTGTTTGCTTATATGTTTTTGTGCTTTATCAATGTGTTTAAAGTGATTTTGCTTATCTTTTGAAAGTAAAGCAGAGAAGTTTTCAGTGAGAAGTTGAAGTGAAAGTTAGAAGTTGAGATTTTGAAAGTTAAAGTTTGAAAGTGGAAGTTTTGTAAAAGTGCTAATGTGAAAAGTATAAGAGTTTATACCTGTTTCTTGCTTATGTGAGTTACCAATGTGCTTGTTATGCCTTTGATATCTGTTTCGAGTAAAGTAGAGAAGTAAAGAGAGAAGTTGAAAGAGAAAAACCAAGAGTTTGAAAGTTAAAAGTTTAGAAGAGAAGTTGTTCTTGATAAGTTGTTGAAGTATATGAGAAGAGATGCATTTGTTGCCTTGTGTGATTTGCTTGTTGCAAGTTTTGTCTTAAGATTAGAGAAGTTAGAACCAGCTAACTTTTAGTCGTGCTAACAAGAATGATCTGTTCTCGTCATGTTCAAAGGGTTTCGCGATGCCGCCGCGAAGAGTCAGAGAGGAATCTCCTCGCTCCTCAGGACCTGGAGCGTCGTCATCTACAAACCTGACTGAGAGTCTGCGCCAGCTCACCCAGTTGACCCAGACCATAGGAGCTGCCTTACTCAATGGGAATAACCGTGGCGGTGATGTGTCCAGAAAGATCACGGGACGCAATCCACCGTGTTTCTTGGGTCAGGAGGATCCGGAAGTTCTTGAGAGTTAGATCCGCACATTTGACAAGTTGTTTGATGTGGTAGGATGCCCAGAGGATCAGCGAGTAGAGGCTGTAGTATATTATCTACAGGGAGAGGTTGACCATTGGTGGGTCATGGAAGGACCAATTGTTCAGGCAAGAGAAGGGTTTGACTGGGGAATGTTCAAGATGGTGATGAGAGAGAGATTCTACCTAGAGCATGTCAAGGCTGCCAAGTATGAGGAATTCTTGCATCTCGAGCAAGGAAGCTTGACCGTTCAGGAGTATCATGCCCGCTTTGTGGCACTGTCTCGATTTGCTCCTACCTTGGTACTTGACGAGGCGAGTAGGGCTCACAAGTTCATCCGAGGATTGCACTATGATGCTCAGAAATCTTTCTCCGCGGCGAGATTTGCTACTTTGAATGAAGCTTATGAGGCAGCTGCTGGTTACTCCAGGATTCAACAGTTGCACCGCGATGACATGCAAGAAATGAAGAAAAAGAATGAGGGGATGGAATCACAGTCGAACAAGGGGCACAAGTTCAATCCGATGAGCAGGACTGACCATAGAGGCGGGGAAAGGAGGAACATGACTATGAGACAAGGAGCTGGAGCTGGAGGACCACCGAGAGAGGGGATTTCGGTATGCCCGAGATGTGGCAAGGATCATCCTAAGACCACTTGTGGAGGATTGCCTATAGTTTGCTTCCGGTGTGGGAAGCCGAGCCATAGAGCCGCTATTTGTCGTTCCCCGAGGACGGAGGGATCCCATGGTACGATCCCGAGCTAGCCACCTAGAGGTCCGATCAACCAGGCGCCGAATCAAGCTATGGGACGTGGCTATCCACCGAGAGGAGGTCCGCATAGGAACATGAATCATGGATGAGGTGGAGCGTAGCAAGGACGTACCAGAGGAGTTGGACCAGGGAGGATTTTGGTCATGGGACAGACTCAGGCCAGAGATCGCAATCTTGAGAAAGGTAACACTCTAACTTGGAATGAGTATGTTGATTTTGCTTGAATACTTAATGAGATGTGCATGCTTGAGAAATTGTTACAAGTTCTTGCAAGGTGTTAAAAGATGTGTTAATCTAAAAATTTTGGGAATTTAGAAGACAATTGAGTTTGTTTTAGAGAAGAGCTTAGATTTGAATGCTATGAATTATTGAACAAGAGAATTAGAAGAATGAGAATAGATATGAGTAAGAATGAAAAATCGTTAGGAAACGATTGAGGTTTAAATAAGAGAGGTGTTTACTGAAATAGAAGTAAAAACGAGAAAAGAAGGAAACGACGAGAAAAGAAATTGGATAAGAATCTAACTTAAGCAATTCCCGGGAGAAATTTGAAACTCAAAGGATTGACAACGGAATCGGGATTTATTAAAGTCGAGGACTACGTTCACCCGATTTGAAGATTTGACAAAGTTAGAGGACCGATTTCAATTTGTAGTTGAACCGGATCCGACTCGGTTACCCAACCCAGTGGCAGGTCTAGGCCACAGGCCGGAACGGGACCCGTTACGTGTGACGGAAGGCCGTGTCAGCTTTGCTAACAACGGACCATGGTGTGGGCCATTGGGAGGGCCGCTGCCAAGCCCCACCACCCTAAACCCTTGAGCTGATTTTTTTCCAAAGCAGAGAGATCAAATTCACATCATCTTCTTCTTCTTTTCTTCATTGCCGCACACTGCCTCAACCTCAACCAAAAACCTATTTCCTCCAAATCAACATCTTTCATCAAGGAAACTTCAAGAGTGTCCTTCCCAGGCCATTCTAAGTACGAGAAAAATACTAGTTGGATCATCCACTGCAATTTTAGCGAGATTAAGTCAACAAGCTTGAACCACAATGGTGAAGGGAAAACAACAAATAGAGGGAACAAGTCAGGAAGCACCTACCTTGTAACACCCCGTGTTACGACCCCTTACCCTAACAAAGTATTTAATCACTTGCCCTAAAAGGAGAATTAAAAACCCATTAATCAACTAAGAAAGGCCCACCATAGTCCATGGGCGCACATCCCTATAACCAACCCCTTAGTTCTATAAGGAATAGAATTAGCAGCCCATAGTGTTTAGACCCCAATTGGGACTCTTAGGAATATATATAAATATAGGGTCATAGGAGGCACCTAGATCTTACACCACAATAATCTCTCACCACACAAAGAGTTCCAAGAATCCCCTTTAGGAGAAATCAAGAAAGAAGAAAGCTTAAAGAAAGACCCTTCATAGCCAAGGAAATTAATTAAGGCTAAGAGGTAACCCATGTTTCAACAAAACCTATTTTCTTAGCTATGATCTCCCTCTTAGGCCTCCCTCTATGTTCTCGTGTCTTGATGAATTCTTCTATGATAGTTGTGTTATGATCTTGTTGATTGATAAGATGATTTATATGCCTTCTTGATGATCTTGATGTTGAAAAGAAGTTCTTGATTTTGATATAATGATTCTTGACGAATCTTGATATTTCTTGATGTTAAAGATAAAGTATGTTCTGGATGGTTTGGGCGGGATTAGAGCCCTTGGATGAATTGGGAATTTGCATTGTGATGTTCTTGATTTATATTTGGGTGGGAATTCGCATGTTCGGGTGTTGTTTATGTTTAGAAGTCGTGATAGGATGAGTCGTATGTGATTCTTGCTTTTGATCCGTTATTTGACTACGTGGTGTCGTTAATTGCGTTTGAAAGTGTCCAAGCATGGTTTCGGGTTCCACAAAGGTCCCCGGGACGAAATTATGGTAAATGAGTCAGTGGGGGTAGGGGAACCCGCCACCTACCCGCTGCCCAGAATCACCGCCGGGCAGCGGGTAGCCGCCGGGCAGTCGCCTGCCCGCCGGCAACCCGCTGCCGGAACAGTGAATTCCGGCGAGCAGCCGGCGGGTGATCCCCACCCACCGGCTACCCGCTGGCCCGTACCCCACCCCGGGTCTCCGGCTTCCTCGTTTGATATTCCCCATCCCCCACGGTGTCCCAAGGGACCCCGTTTGTCGTGCTCGAGTCTAGTTTGATATTCCGGGTACCTTTCGTAGGTTAAACGAGTCTTAGGAATTGCATGCTAGTTGAATCGGTAACCCGTTGGCCTAGGTGGAAGTTGTATGAACCCTTAGGACTATTCTTAGTATGTGAATGATCACACGTAAGATTATTTATATGTCTCTCCCCTCCCAATGTGTTATTACGTGCTCCTATGTGTTATGTGGTTCATGATCCCCCATTTTGGTTATAGGCCAATTGGGTGGTTCCCGGACTAAGGTTCGGAAATCGGTTGAAGACCGAATGGATATTTCCCGGACTAAGGTTCGGAAGTCGGTTGAAGACCGAATGGATTGATCCCGGACTAAAGGTTCGGAAGTGGCTGAAGGCCAATGGATTGTCCTGGGTTAAGACTCAGAAGTGGCTGAGGCCAAATTGATTTACTTCTTGGACTACAGGTCCAACTATGGGCCTCGGTGCTATGACCCACCGGACCTGAACGCGCCAGGACGGTGTGTAGGGCCAATAAGCCGAGGAAGGCTGTAGTCCACCGACCTGAGTAATCAGGCGGTGTGTAGGGTTACGGCTGGCTGCGATCTACCGAACGATGGGACATCGGTGTGTAGGGCCATAGTCTCCGAGGATCTCCGCCCACCTACTGAGCACAGCTCAGGGGTAAGCCAGGCTTAGATCTGCAATGGTCCACCGACTGTGCGCATCGACGGTGTGTAGGGTCATATGTCCCCCCTTGTAAAGGGTATCGCGGTCCACTGACTGGGTGCGTCAGCGGTGTGTAGGATCGTGATCCGAGTTTGAGTTCGTCAACGGTTCTAAAAGGGTTGGTTGCGATCAACTCCCCTCGTACCGCGGTACTGAGGTAGGGTGCTGCGGGGCCGTGTTAATGCTATATGCATTGACCCTCATGTTCGGGGCATGCGATTGGTCCCGTGGCGCCATCAATGATGATGTGATATGTGATGTTGTGATATGAATGATGTGACTTGATGATGAGTCAGTAATGATGCATGATGATTGATGTAGTGACCGGAATTGTGCTTTCCTTATAATGTTATCTCTATTTTACTTGTTGTTATGTATTGTGCTTGTCCCTATCTGGCGAGTCTATTCCCGGTTTTAAAGGCTAGAGTCTCCTAAGTATATCTTCCTGCTTCAAAATGGTTTTTTTACCATATCTGTATCTATACATACATACATATATATATATATATATATATATATATATATATATATATATATATATATATATATATATATATATATATATATATATATTGTATTTCAACGCGTTGGAGTAGGTTACCAGCATCTCTCGCTGAACAGTTATATTTGGCTTTCAGGCACCGATAAGTAGACACCGGAGCGCGCTAGAGACGTGGAGCGTAGAGTAGATAGTTTCCCTTCGGCCTGCGTGCCATAGTTATGTATTGACATTATTGAGGATCTTAGTTAGTTTGCCTGTGCACTTGGGTTTTCTAGCCCAGGTGTGGCATAGCACCCCATACTCTTATGTTATGTTCCCGGGATTTTATGAGGATTACCTTTATTATATAAGTTTTAAATATTCTGAAATTTTGGGGTGTTACAGTTGGTATCAGAGCCTAAGTTTGACCCTAGGATAAGACTCTTAAGACCATACTTTTGGACATTAGACTTGAACTCTATGTATTCAGGGACATAAGACTCAGGAATTTTAGGACGCGCAGTGAGATTGTGAGCCTACCCACCACCATCACATAACATCCCACCGCCCTATCCCTCATTAACTTAAAAGAACTTCTCTTCGCGTATCACACCAAGGTAAGGGAACGACCCTCTAAATCAGTGTAAACATTGGTTCTATAGATCAGCAACATGGCACCGAACAGAAGACAATCAAGGACTCCATAACCCACCACACACGACCCCCTAGCTCAAACCCTGCAGCAATTCACCCAGGTCGCCCAAGCACTAAGCGACGTTTCCCTCCGCAACAACAGACCACCACCGGACACAAACTCAGAAGTCGCCCGACAGGTCTCGAACCATCGACCACCCACGTTCTCGGGCGAAGAAAATCCCGCCATCCTCGAAGAATGGATACGGACCTTCGACAAAATTCTGGGGTTGGTAGAATGCCCAGAAGAACGCCGCGTGGAGATAGCCTCGTTCTACTTCGGACACGAGGCAGATCTTTGGTGGACCCACGAAGGACCCACTTACAGGCAGGAACCAGGATTCAACTGGAAAAACCTGAAAACGCGCCTGCGAGAACGATTCTACCCGGCACACGTGAAAGCTTCGATGCACGAGGAGTTCCTCCACCTAAAACAAGGCACGACGACCATCACTGAATACCATAAACGATTCCTCGAACTGGCACGCTTCGCGCCAGAATTAGTTCCCACGGAATCAACAAAAATAGAAAGGTTTGTATCGGGCCTCAACTTCGAAGCTCGGAAAGCACTAATAGTAAGCGGGCCCCGCACCCTCAACGAGGCTTACTCCAGTGATGCCAACCTCTACCGAATCCAACTACTACAACGTGGGGTACAGGATTAGATTCGGAAGAGGAATACCGGAGGTGGTGCACCACCAATGAAGCGAACCAGAACCGACACCAACACCAGGCCAAACAACCCAGCCGGACAAAGAGCACCCCCAAGAAACAACGAAGCCAACGCGGGGGGCTTCCCTTGCCCAAGATGCAACCAAAGCCATAGAGGCAGGGACTGCATGGGGAACCCCTTACGGTGCTTCAACTGTGGGAAAGAGGGACACAAGGCCTTCCACTGCTCGCAACCCTCAAGTTCA